ACTTTTTAATAGTATATAAAAATAAGGGTAAAATATGTATTTAGTCAATCAATTATTCACGTGATTCTATTTTGGTCATCAAATTATTTATTTCTTAAAATCATACTTACTTTATGTTTTAGTTTTATTTTAATTATCAACTTTTAAAAGAATTAACATAACTACTAATGTGATGTTTTTTTTTCTTCACTTTTTTCAATGATGACGCGATATTGTTATATGGTGACATGTCAATATCATCGTTAATTTTTTAACGGTGGACTATCAAAATAGAATTGAAGCAAACGTTAAATATGATTTAAAAAATTGAATTATCAAAATAGAATAACATGAATAGTTACTAATTTCATAGTTTACCCTAAAAAATAACTGCGAAAACAGAGTAGCTGCAAAACATTATAGTGACGTGTTTAATCCAATTAGATTGCAGCCTCTCCCCCGGAAATAAAAGCCCACCGAAGATGAATTTCTTGTCATGATTTTTAAACTTTTAAGTAAAGCGGGACTGATGAGATTTTGGTTCAGGTGCTGGTGCAACATACACTCGGCAAGTGCCAGCTATTAAAAGGAAATTTGATTACGGAGCAATGATATTCATTCTCACATTTAACTTGGTGGTAATATCGGGTTTACGTGCTGAGCAAGTGCTGGAATTAGCCCGTGACCGTCTCTCCGCCATCGCTATGGGCTTCGCTGTCTGCCTTTTCGTAAGTTTGCTTGTGTTTCCTATTTGGGCTGGTGATGAACTTCATGACTCGTTAGTCTCCCGATTCCAACACCTCGCTGTCTCTCTCCAAGGTATCATTATCAACTCTTGTATATTAATTTTATAAAATGTTAAGACTAGGATAAAGTTATAAAATTTTAGAAACTAAAATAAATTATCAGTCGAAGATATAAAAATTATTTAAATTATAGGAGCGTTTAGATCGATTTTCTTCAATCAATTCTGGACAGTCCCTGCCCATATACTTAAAATTTTGGGTCTGTCCATTTCAAGCTGAGCCCAAGGGTAAACCTGGTGCTGGAATAGCCGAGGACCAGATTATCTGTAGGAGCATATTTGACGAGTGTTTCAAATTTAAGTGTCTTATCATGTGTCATTTATTATAGGATTTTGTGAAGAATACACTGGAAATGTGGATGAAGATGGGAAGAAGATTAGTGCTGATTTCAGTAGTAAATGTAAATCAGTCCTGCACACCAAGATAAAGGACGAAACATTGGTATGTTTCTGTTTCTTTCATCTGAACTTCAATATTTGCATATTATAGTCTGCTCAAATTTAAGTGTATATTGAGCAGGTAAGTTTTGCGAAATGGGAACCTTGGCATGGAAAATTTGGATTCTTCTATCCTTGGGGAAAATACCTAGAAATAGGAGAAGATCTAAGAGATTTGGCTACAATCATCCTTTCACTTAAAGGCTGCCTTAGATCACCCATTCAGGTACAACATCTTCAAAAGTTTTAATCTTGTTTTAGTCTTAACTATTGATAGCACCCACCATGCATGCAACGTAATTATCCAAAATTCTTCTTAGTTTGTTCCTTTTATATTTGTTAAAATTATTTTTAAATATTGTTATCATCAGTCATCGGAAGATGATACTGTTCGCCAATCGATGAAAGAACCGTGTGAAGAAATTGTAGCAGCACTGGCACTGATGTTAAGGCAGCAGGGAGACGGTGTAAAAGAGATGAAGAAATGTGAATACGAAGATATGATATTGTCGAAATTGAAGACGGTGAGGCAAGAACTAAGCCTGCTTGCCAATCCTTCCACGGTTGGAATTAGTCATTTGGAGAAAACTGATGGATTAGGATTAGCAAGCTTCGTATGCTCCATGATGGAGATGGTGGAAAAGATGGAAGAATTGGCCAAACATGTCGACCAACTTGGACAGCTTGGTGGTTTCACATGATTGAATTATTCCAAGCAATATATCTTATTAAAATTCCAAGCTATGTACATATATGTTTGTTTTACTCTACATATGTATATACTCATTGGCTGCCTATAAACATAAATCTTGAAATGATTATTTTTTGCAATCTATAAAATTCTCCTAATCTAAGTTTGATCCCATCCGTCTAATTCATAGGACTACATCCTAGGGATAATTGACGCATGATATATCTCGACATAGATGGATCGAAGTAGAGTTGTATCTTGAAAATTTTAAATTCTTTTATACTTAAGATTACTTTTATATTTTCTATTAATAATCTAATTTTAAATTTCTAAAATTTTATAATTATGTATCCTCAAATAGAAAATCATGTGTCTATCCTTATGTCTCGATAAATTAAATCTAATGAGTTAAAAGAAATACTTGAATATCAACGATGAAAGTTTGATCATAATGCAAATTGCTAGTATAATAATAATAATAATACAAATACAAAAGGACAAAACATCAATGAATCTCCATTATTGATGTTCAGTCTGGAGAAAGAAACAATGAGATAGAAAGGAAAAAGCTTAAAACACAAAAATGATCCCTAAATTTGATAAGTTTATTCAAATTAGCCCCTAAACTTTGTTAATCAAATTGGTCCCTACCCCGAACTTAACAAGTTTAATCGGCCCTTCATTTTTTGTAGCAACTTATGAAGTTTAGTATCAATTTCAAAGGCCAAATTGATGAAACTTGTCAAGTTCAAGGACTAATTTGACTTTAAAAAGTTGAGGGACCAATATGCGTTTTAAGCCAAAAAAATTAAAAAAGGCCTATTAAAGTCCAAGGACGCCTGTTGTGTTACCAGAAAGAGGAGGAGAGACTAAAAGGTTGAGATGGATTATCTCCCAAAACTAGCCGCAGTAGGCATGATCGGCTTGCTTTTGTTATGCAGTAATGTAAGAAGTGTTCCGGATACAAGCGTCATAATTGTTCTCTGCAACTCGGGTAGCTATTCCGAGGGCGATCCATTCGCCACTAGTTTGGCCTACGTCCTCGAGGACTTGGAGGCCGTCACCCCTATGCGCAAAGGCCACGATTACTTCAACATCTCCCCGTATCCGAATGCCTTCGCCTACGGCCATGCGGCTTGTAATCAGAGCCTCACCACCTCGGATTGTGCTGCTTGTTTGAGTGCTGCTGAAATCGCCATGTTTGGAACTTGTCAAAGTCGAATAGGGTCTCGCTCGGTGCTCCATGATTGTACTATTAGGTATGAGCAATACGCATTTGATGACTAGATTAAACAACTCCACTGGAAATTAATGGACTTTATCTCTAATCATGTTTATTTTGTACGAAAGTGTTTCAAACACTCAAACTTGTCTATTTCCATCTAATCATACGTGTTTCAAGTGGATTTGTGGCTCAGCTATACATTTTTTTTAAATCTTAATCTGAGTTCTTGGAGACCATAAAAACTGAATCCACATAATATTAAGAATTCATAAAGAATTTGCTATAGTTTCATTGATCAAATGAACAAGATTTCAAAGTTTCAACTCTCTACATTCGTCAGGAATATGATTATGAACCATTTTTCGTACAACCTCAACTATCTAGAAACTTTATATACTCATCACAATGGAGTTTGAGAGCCTTGTGCCAAACTTGGTGAGCGTGACGACTCCCTCTGTTGGAAAAGAACATAGCGAAGCTCATTCCATGAATCAGGAACACCAGGCAAACACCAGTGGCTACAATCTTGACGGTTCAGAGGACCAGCTCCGATTTCCGGGCCGAAATGATACAACGTTGTATGCCCATCTTGTCTTTGATATGTCATGGAGTAACGTTCATCATCTGTATCACTTGAAACCCTTGTGGGTGTTTTGACAACACACCAGAGATCATGTCAACGAGTTTCTCGGTTTGATTAGGCAATGGACCAAAGTCCGGTAGCTTCAGATGATGACAGTGTCCTTCAGTTTTCCAGGTGCCACCTCTGTTCATGCAGCCACGGTGATTAATATACACATATATTTGCATGGTATATACATTTTGATCCAAAAGGAACACTGGAATAGATACGTATATGAAGTACAGAACACAAAAGCATGTATCAGACGGCAAATCATATATATGTAAATATACATATATATATATATATATATACACAACCATATTAAGTTCAATGCTGGTCTAATGTACCGATGATAGAGAAAAAAGCAATGGGGAAAACCTGAAATGTACAGGACCATAGGTGCGAAAGAGAACTTGTGTCTTATTCGTATCGACTTGACTAGTAACGAAGTTGACTAATGTTTGAATGGATTTCTCAAATGCAGTTGTAAGTTCCATCTCCATCTTCACCTTCACCTTCGTCCCTTCATGGAAATAACAACCACTGTGACATAACATAAATCCAACGATTAGACGATGTGTGTGATTATAGCGAGAACTAATGGCAGATTCATTAAACTAGCACCGAACTGTTAACTGTCAATGCCAAAACTATTTTAACCAAGGATGGTTAACTATGTTCCTATAATAGTCAAGAATGTAAGCAGGTACACAAACCTAGATCATAAAACATATATCAGATTGATGAGATTACTGTTTTATTGTCTTCTCATAACTCCACCAATGGCCACTGTTAAAAACCAGCACATCTGCATCTTTCCACTGCATATGACTCCAGGTCATATGATCCAGTCTTAGAGTCATCCAAACTTCTTTCGGAGACCCCTTGTTGAAGTCAAACTCAATTATTATAGGAAAATGTAGAAACAAAGAAAGGTGGCAACAACTTTTATTAGTTTTGGAAGCATGCTAATAATAAAGAAAAAAACGTGGCAATGCACTAGTATGTTTGGCAAAGATTTTTTTAATGAAAGCAATAATTGTTGCAACAAACATGAGGTGGCAAGAGGAATTAAGAAGCATCCAGAGCAAGTAATGTCGGTTTATTACATATATATATATATATATATGTGTGAGCAAAGCAAGCAGGTAGTGTGAGAAGTGATGAAAAGAGAATATACGAGTGAGAGAAAAAATTAGAGAGAAGAGAGAGAGAGCGCTTAGCAAAACTATTGGTGAGTTTGTAAACTAGCCGCAGTTAGTATTGTAATATTGAGTTATAAATTATCGTGAGTCCATCTACACTTTCAACACCCCTTTTTGGAGAACTGCCCTGCACCACTAGATATGGAGATCCGTAGTATTCGACCGTGCAGTTATAATCTTCAAACCTGAAAACCAAGGACCCTTTGTGTTTAGTAATCGGGCTCCCGTTCACCTCATAGATCAAACCCTTGTTGGGAACTGCAGTAGCAAGCATGCAGAGCATGGATTCCCATTGGTTCCTTCCAGTGGAGTCACCGATAAACGCGAGGCGCCGGTTCCGCAGCTTTTCCAGCATCATAGTTGCATTAAATCTGTCTTCAAGAAGATAATGTAAGATATAATATACAATTTCAGTCAAACAGCATTTCTCATGAACATGGTTAACAGACCAAACCATAAACAAACTGAAATGCAATTCGAATTTACTTGAAAAGACAATAACAAAGACACCAATCAAGAATAAAAGGTATGAACATTAAGGATAGATAAAAAAACAATAATCAATCATTTTCCGTACGCATGCAAAGATCAAAATTCCATTTTTTTCCTAACCATGACAGATAAACAACAGCAATGCCCCATTCCTCTTTCAAGCAAGCAGAACAGATAGAGCAGTAATTACCAAAATAAAATCTCAAATAAGTGAAAAGGATGGACCTTGGCAAATCGCAACCATTAGGCTGCCAACGCCACTTTGTGTAGTAAGTATCGGGGCGGCCATTTTCAAGACACCGGAAACCAATATCCAGAAAAGGGCAATCTTGGCTTTGATAAAGAGGGTAGTTATCATCCCAGACCCATTGACCATCATAAAAGTCACATGAATCTCCACCTTCATCTAGAAATCCCAGCCGTCCATTGCTGACGGTGCCTTATCTATTGCTGCTTTTGCTTCTGAACTTTCTGACGGTGACGATGGAGTGCCACTAAGTCCAAACAAAGGAAAGCCGAGGTTGAGGACGGCCCAGTAATCCAAGTAAAAGAAGCCCCCAATGAATAAACAAAAGACTAAAATGAAGCCAAGAACACCCAGAAAAGGATCGAGAAGGTTAAATTTATTGGAGAAATCTACCTGCATCATTTTACTTTTAAGTCCTGTGAAGTTGTATTCTATACATCTTTTATCTCATAAAGTTAAAAAAACACACACACACACACACTGATTAATTAACTACGTTTTATAAAAGCTTCCAAGAAAGAATGTGGTTTTAAAGGGTACCTTTTAGAAATGAACAAAGAAAAAAAAAGTAGGATCTTTTGATTGCTTAAGGAGAGGACTGTATTAATGTCTAGTTATATTATCTCAATTAAAAAAGAAAATAAATTATTCAAATAATAAATTAAAATTATTTATGAAAAAAATCCAAATTATTAATATATCACATAATTATACTTCCATTAAACCAAGTATTGATTTGCTTCGCGATTACAGCTAATGTATACTTATTTTCATGTGTATCGGAATGCGATTCCAGTTTAGATATACGTGCACAATGTCGCCGATAACAAGACTTACTGATAATACCAACGTATAAATTAATTGGTATATATGGCTCTATAATTATTGATTTTCACAAAACTTAAATACTATTTTCTTGTTGCAATTACTTCCTTAATTAATCAAATTAAGGAAAACATAATATTTATCTGATTTTTATTAATGACAGTAAAAATCTGTAACATTTTTTACAAAAATAAATAAACAAACGGAGCATTAAGTTCTGTGCTATGAGGACACAGAGCACGACGACTGATGCCTCTTGCTTGCTGATCCCTTCATCCACAAGGAAATGAAAAGTAGATATCAAAATCATTGAATTTGATTTTCTTTTATTGTTTACTGTTGTCGGTGAGATTTTTTTCCGATTTTAGCTGCAAGATTCTGATTGCTGTTAATTTTATATGTATTATTTTGCTTTAATTTGATTCTTTAGAATAAAATTGTTATAAGTGAGATCAGATGATCTTAAAGATGTCAACTTTTTTCTTATTAGATGAACCAAAATTGAATCTTTAAATCAAAATCCCCAGAAAAGATTCAGAATGTTCAAGCAGAGCATCTACATTTTACAATATGCATACCAAAACGTCACAAAAGCAGCAATGCCGCTCAATATACAAAGTCTATCTACCCTGCTTTCGTTCCTCATCTTCTCCTCTTTAAACTCGCTCTGCACTTTCGAGTACAGATGACACGATTCCACAACTTCGCTGTAGTTTTTGCTCCTACGGCAGCTTAGCGCTTCCTTGAGAATGAGCAAACTGTTCCGTCCGTTAACGTGTGCACCTTCCATGTCTTCCAGCTGCATGCTTAGCTCCGTCAATTTCAGAGTCGTCTCTACACCGTTGCCTTCGGTGCATACGACTCTGAACTTCATTATAAGAATGCACTCCACTACTTGACAAGGGAGGATATCTTTGGCAGGAAGAACAGACCCAAACCTTATCACGAAATCCTTGTCTGTTGGCCAATGTCTCTGTCCGCCGAGAGGGCTCCAGCTAGCAACGTTAGCGGCTTGCTTAATTTTCCTGTTCACAACGATCCAACTAAGGCGGAGGCCATCTCGGAGTTCCTTCCAAAGCTTTCCGTCTTTCCTTTCCTTTTCCATGGAGTTAATTGGCGGCAGACCATCGGGAACCGAGAGGGTAACCTCGCCTTCGCTATCATCGTCTCTGGCTTCATAATTAAGAAGATCAATCCGGAACGGACAATTGTGAAACCAACTATTGGATCCATTTGCATTCGGAATGCCCCACAGTACTTTTGAGCAGATTGTTTTATCTTTATACCTGATATCCACAACTGAAACAAAATTTAAGGGGGAAATACTTTCAAGTCCGACGGTGTCGCCGTAATATTCTGCTTCAGTCCATTCTTCGGGGTACTCGAGATGGCCATTCCACTGGTACTCTGTTACTTCCTTGTTAACAATAAGCGGAAAACAATCTGCATAGAATTTTCTAAATCCACCATTCGACAAAATCAAACTTTTAACATCTTCTCTGTTGGTTGAAGGCCACATCGAAGAACACACATTTTCCCATAGTCTCTCCTCTCTAGAGATCGAACAAAATGTCGAGCACGAACATGCTGCGGAGGCCAAACTTGGACCATCGAGGCGCCTCAATATGTCGTAGAAAACATCAGTGCTCAACGATGCCATGCTCTCAATGGTTGCTGTTGACAAAGCTCTAAATCTACAGAGAACCACATAAAATGGGATCGTTCATAATTACTCAACTCGATGAGTCTAATAACACCAGCCAATTCAGAGCTCAATGTGAAATCCCTAAATGAGT